TACAAACAGAAAACATTTCTTACTCTGGTGCCGTAAATGACATTGTGACTTTGTTTCATTTTTATCTTGAGTCAGTTCCATCCCAATGGCAAGCTGAAATAGAAAAGATTTATTTACTTCAGCATGGCAAAAATTAACAGCGTATCTAATTTTAGTCTGAAGGATTTTTTACTCAACAAATTCATCATCCTGGTAGAAACAAAGAAAGGTATTTTACAACAAAAACAAAGCTGTAGATAATACCTAAAAAAACCCCAACAAAATGATGAAGAAGTGAACCTAAATGACACATTGTTTTTGAAAAATAATAGAATCTGACAGCTATTATTTTCACTCCCCTAATCTCTTTGTATCACTACCACCTCTATCTTTTTGTCCTCTTACCTTGTATTATCCACTCTCCTTGGATTTCCTCTTCTTCATAAAGTACAACCATTCCTCAAAATAACTAAGAGCAAAACAAGTAAAAACCTGGTGGGTATCTATACAGCAACTGTATCTGTTAGTGTGCCTGCCTAACCTGTAAGGACAGGGATTTTTATCATCTGGATTAATTTACAAAACGATGAGCCTTCCATGGTAGTGATTCCATCAGAATAGAATATTGCTGCCAAATATCATAGAATCATAGAATATTTAGGGTTGGAAAGGACCTTAAGATCATCTAGATCCAACCCCCCTGCCATGGGCAGGGACACCTCACACTAAACCATATCACCCAAGGTCTCGTCCAGCCTGGTCTTGAGCACTGCCAGGGATGGAGCATTCACAACCTCCCTGGGCAACCCATTCCAGTGCCTCACCACCCTTACAGGAAAGAACCTCCTCCTTATATCCAATCTAAACTTCCCCTGTTTAAGTTTTAACCTGTTACCCCTTGTCCTGTCACTACAGTCCCTAAATGAAGAGTCCATCCCCAGCATCCCTATAGGCCCCCTTCAGATATTGGAAGGCTGCTTTGAGGTCTCCACGAAGCCTTCTCTTTTCCAGCCTGAACAGCCCCAACTTCCTCAGCCTGTCTTCATACAGGAGGTTCTCCAGTCCCCTGATCATCCTCGTGGCCCTTCTCTGGACTTGTTCCAACAGTTCCATGTCCTTTTTATGTTGAGGACACCAGAACTGCACACAATACTCCAGGTGATGTCTCACAAGAGCAGAGTAAAGGGGCAGGATCACCTCCTTCGACCTGCTGGTCACGTTCCTTTTGATGCAGCCCAGGATACGGTTGGCTTTCTGGGCTGTGAGTGCACACTGCCAGTTCATGTTAATTTTCTCATCAACCAACACCCCCAAGTCCTTCTCCGCAGGGCTGCTCTGAATCTCTGCCCAACCTGTAGCTGTGCCCAGGATTGCTCCGACCCAGGTGCACTTGCAGCACTTGGCTTGCTTAAACTCCATAAGGTTGGCATCACCCCACCTCACAAGCGTGTCAAGGTCCCTCTGGATGACATTCCTTCCCTCCAACATATCAACAGAACCACACAGCTTGGTGTCATCGGCAAACTTGCTGAGGGTGCACTCAATCCCACTGTCCATGTCACTGACAAAGACGTTGAACAAGACCGGTCCCAACACGGATCCCTGAGGGACACCACTTGTTACTGGTTTCCAGCCGGACATTGAGCCATTGACCACAACTCTTTGCGTGCGGCCATATAGCCAGTTCTTTATCCACCGAGTGGTCCATCCATCAAATTGATGTCCCTCCGATTTAGAGACAAGGATCTTGTGTGGGACAGTGTCAAATGCTTTGCACAAGTCCAGGTAGATGACATCAATTGCTCTGCCCCGTCCATCAGTTCCGTAGCCCCATCATAGAAGGCCACCAAATTGGTCAGGCAGGATTTCCCCTTAGTGAAGCCGTGCTGGCTGTCACCAAGCACCTTGTTGTTTTTCATGTGCCTTAGCATGCCATCCAGGAGAATCTGCTCCAAGATTTTGCCAGGCACAGAGGTGAGACTGACTGCTGTGTAATTCCCTGGGTCATCCATTTTCCCCTTCTTGAAAATGGGGGTTTTATTTCCCTTTTTCCAGTTGTTGGGAACTTCACCTGACTGCCATGATTTTTCAAATATGATGGCCAGTAGCTTAGCAACTTCAATCGCCAGCTCCTTCAGGACCCGCAGATGGATTTCATCAGGTCCTGTGGTCTTGTGCACGTTCAGATTTTTGAGATGGTCTTGAGTCAGATCCTCTCCTACAGTGGGCGCAAGGTCTTCATTCTCACAGTCCCTGCGTCTGCCTTCCAAGACTTGGGTGGTGTGGTCAGAGCCTTTGCCAGTGAAGACTGAGGCAAAGAAGTCATTCAGAACCTCAGCCTTCTCCAAATCCTGTGTAGCCAGTTCTCCCAAGAGCTTCCTGAGGGAGCTGATGTTCTCCCTACTCTGTTTTTTATTTGCTACATACCTGTAGAATCCCTTCCTGTTATCCTTAACATCCCCAGCCAAGTTTAATTCTAACTGGGCCTTAGCTTTCCTGACCTGGTCCCTAGCTTCCCAGACAATATCCCTGTACTCTTCCCAGGCCGCCTGTCCTTGCTTCCACTTATTATAAGCCTCTTTTTTCATTTGAATTTTCCTCAGCAGCTCCTTATCCATCCAACGAGGTCTCCTGGCCCTCCTGCTGCACTACCTTCTAGTTGGGATGCAGCACTCCTGAGCTTGTAGCAGGTGATCTTTGAATATCAACCAACAGTCTTGGGCCCCCCTGCCCTCTAGGGCTATATCCCATGGAACCTTACTAAGCAGGTTCCTGAAGAGGCCAAAGTCTGCTCTTTTGAAGTCCAGGGCAGTGAGCTTGCTGCACGCTCTTCTCACTGTCCTGAGGATCTCAAATTCGACCATCTCATGATCGCTGCATCCAAGGCTGCCCTGGAGCATCACATTTCCAACAAGCTCTTCCCTGTTGGTGAGCACGAGGTCAAGCATGGCACCTCTCCTTGTCGGCTCCTCTATTACTTGCAGAAGGAAGTTGTCTTCCACACATCCAAGGAACCTCCTGGATTGTTTGTGCCGGGCTGTACCGTCCTTCCAACAGATGTCAGGGTGGTTGAAGTCACCCATGAGAGTAACGGCCTGTGAGCATGAGGCTTTTCCTATCAGTCTATGGAGTGCTTCATCCACACGTTCTCCTTGATCAGGCAGTCTGTAACAGATCCCCACAGTAATGTCTCCCATAGCTATATTCCCTTTAACCCTGACCCACAAACTCTCTGTGGACTGCTCACCTGTCCCCAGACAGAGTGCCATACTCTCCAGCCTATCCCTAACATAAAGGGCAACTCCCCCTCCCCGCCTGCCAGGCCTGTCCTTCCTAAAGAGCCTGTAACCTTCCATTCCAACACTCCAGTCATGGGAGCCATCCCACCATGTTTCTGTGATGCCTATTATATCATACCCCTGTAGACATGCACACATCTCTAATTCCTCTTGTTTGTTCCCCATGCTATGGGCATTTGTATAGAGGCATCTGAGCTGAGCTCCAAATGAAGCTGGCTCATTGGCTGGAGCGACTGGAATATATCTATGTTGCTCCGAGCATTTATTATAGGTTCTGGCAACTGACTGGGTGTGTTGGGATGGAATGATGCCCCCCTCCCCCAACACATCTAGTTTAAAGCTTCCTTGACCAGTCTGGCAAGCCTCCTACCAAAACTGCTCTTCCCCTTAGACCAGCTCCACCAGCCCCCAGTAGACCTGGCCTACAAACTTGGGTCCCGTGTTCAAGACACCCAAACCCCTGACTGTGACACCACCCTTTTAACCATTTATTAACCTGGCCAATCCTCCTAGCTTTTTTTAGGTCCTCCCCTGTACCCTGGAGAATTGCTCTGAGTTGAGGCTCCTGGACGCTGACCTCCCCCCCCCGCTCCCGTATTGAAGGCGTTCTTTCTCAAGCTACTCACCTCATCAACTTACCACAGAGCAGCTGTTTATATGAGTCAGTTATAATAAAATATAATATCTACATCTTTCTTTCAAGGATTAATTACTTGCAAGAATTCTTGACAAATAGCAGCTTAGAGTCGTGGAAGTTTCATATGCATTTTACAGGCTGAAAAACAGACAAAAGTGATTTTACGCATTACTGTCTAGTGATTTAGTGTCTGAATTGACATGCAGATGACATTTGTTCTGTTATCTACCGGTAGTATAATAGATCCAAAACTTGGTGCCTTTCAAGTGCCCAGTACTGCAGGATCAGTACCTCAAAGCCTGAAGAGAGATGTCTGCTGTTTTACAGACTTCATGCACACTGTTGTAACCTGAAGGTGCATTATTTAATGAATAATCTCATTCATACAAATCTAAGCAGGATCCAAGGTGCCACATCACATACTGCCAAGAGCCATGCATCAATTACACAAAACAAAAGATTCAAATGCCCCCTTTACCTCTTCTTACTTTTATCCTTGCCAGCTGGATACTCTGCTTAGCTCTTGTGTAAAGGTCTGAGCGGAGAACAGTGCGCATGCCACCTTCCCTCTGCTTAAGCAGTCTGCTGTGTACACATGCTTGGAATATACTTACTCAGATGACAGACTCTGGACTAAGGACCAAGTTGCTTAACAGTGTAAAGATGGTGATACCTTATGAAATACCTTGAATATAATTTTAGGATTCCAGGATTTCAAACTGTCACACAATGAGGAACTTCTGGATTTATAAAGTAATTGAGAAGGGCACTTAAAGATCACAATTTTAGATTTATGTACTGAGAGTAAGTATTACCTGGAAAATAAAAACATAAAGCCCAGTTTACAAATCAAACCTTCATGCTTTCAAGATCCAATGAGCTTCAGTCAAGTTTTTAGTTCCTAATGCTGAAAAAGAATATTGGAAAATAGGACCAAGCCTCTTTTGTAATTTTGAACACTTTACACAAACTGCTATATGAACTTTTTATATGAAGGGGTTTTGTTTGGTTGGGTTGGTTGTTTTCTTCAGAATCCTACTTGAACCCTGATCCTTCAGAATGCTTCTGCTGGAGTTGAAGGTTTGTTTTGTTTTGTTTTCTTAATTGTTTTTAGATTAAAAACTAAGATTGCAAATGCAGAGATTGAATAAATAGGCACCAGTTCATACAATGCCATTATGCTTGTCTATTATATAACAGTAGAGTCAAAGTTTTGCGAGAAAATCCCATCCTTATAATGGGTTTATTTATTAATTACTATAAAGGCCCTAACATAGATAACTGCTGTCTACAAAGAGCAGTCCTGTGGGTTCAGGTAACAGCAAATTCCCCAAAACTCTACTCAATTGTTGCTGTCACAAAGAACTATAAGGCGGAGCTGAGTCACATAAACTATTGTTCTACTAATTTTAAATTACTTAAAAATTCAGACAAAATGTTGTGTGAAAGTCAACTAGTGAAGACAAGCAGAAGTTTACATGTTCCAAGCACAGTCCTCTTTCCATTCTTGAGCAATATATATTTGGGTATAACCACTTAGTAATCAGTAGGTAACTAGCATAGAAACTCCACCAAAATTGACAATATTATAATTGTCTTTATTTATTTACTTCCATTCTGTTCTAATATAGGTTATGGTAAATATGCCAGCTCTGCAATCCAATTAGCGCCATCAACACTACACAGTAACACAACCTGGTAATTCATTCCTCCTTGGAGGTATTTTGTGGACAAAACCTTGAATTTTACTGTAATCATTGCAAAACTATTAAACACTCATTTGTAATATTGTAATTTTAACGCTTGTTTAGCATTGAGAAAGTCATAACTCATTGAGTCAACAGCTTCAGTCTTGCACCTCAGAGTCCAGTATTTGGCCAAAGATGATAGGTTTGGGCATGGCATATTTATTTCACATATAGTAAGCATATTTCTGATTATCTAGAATATGCAAACAGAAATTTATGAATAGTTGATACATTTCAGTTAAGGAAACATGCAAACCAGACTGAATTATATAAAGTAACAGGGTAGTGAAATGGAGTACTCAAAAGAACATTTCCACTTGTTATATACAGTTTGGAACAAGAGCGAACAGCTGTAGAAACCCATGAAAACAATTCAGTAGAACAAGATATATGAAAAATAGTGTTAAACTGCTTCTACACAACTCTAAATCAAGCTTTGAATGGAGCCTGCTCCTAACAGTTCCACAAACCAATATTTGTGCTCAATTACCATTTTGATTTTGCTTATGAGCAAAATTTCTGTCATTTTGTCTCTGAGGCCACTATCCAGCTAGGGCAGTAGCCGAAGGTACCCATGTAATTTTCTCAGTCCAGGAGAAAGGAGGACAATCTGACTTTGAAAAGACTGTAATGCTACCATTCACTAAGCCATGGGAAAGCTTTATGAGACATAGAGATTTATTGATACCAGAAATATCAAAAGGTTTAATTATCAAAAGATTTCTAAGGTTAAAGGCACTATTAACATCTGCTCTTCTACAACACTAAGGAGCCTCCATCCCTTTATTCCCTTTACCTCTCCCCCTTTAAATTTTGTAATTTACAGAAAACTGACTTCTGGATATCCTTTGCCAAAAGAAAGAGGTATGTCTGGTGGAATCTATGGAATTTACATTATAATGGCAGTAGGAGGAGGAAATTTGAGTTTGCTGTACAGTTACAAGAATGATGTAGCTGTCAGAGCTCTGACTGCCTCTTGCCTTTCCAGAGGGCCTGGCTGCTTGGGCTCAGGACCAGTTTTGACAGTGCAGCTGTGGAGCCTTGAAAGAGAGCTGTGAGAAGACTGAGCAGATTCCTGCCAGATTCTCCTTTGCCCAAGAGATGCCTTCGAGCTTAGGTCTTGCCCTTGCTCTCTTGGCTGAGCTATGCTGCCAATATGACCTGCATCCAGCTTCCCACCTCCTGATTCTGACCCAGATCCTGTAAACTCAAGTTCCCAGTTTGACCTTGGACCTGCCAGAGAAGCCATAATGAGGAGCCAGTCTGGACTTACCCTGGCTACCATCACCATCAGTCACTGTCACCTGCTCTGCTTTTCCTATGTGGGTACCATGGAACTAGCTCTGCTGCAGTGGTCTAACTGCCCTGGCCTTGTTCACTTTCACTTCCAGCCCCATCCACCTTCCCTTTATGGAGCATCCAGCCCTTGCTGCTGGGTGCAAGGGCAGCATCCATGTGTGCACTCAGCACACCTCATCAGCAATCCCCCCATCAAGCTGAGAATTTCCCACCTACTTTCTGCAAATATGAGATAATGGACTGACTTTCAGCAGAATAACTGAACTCCCAATTGACTCAACTCTTGGTCTGCTTAAAAATGAAGGACTAACACAGGAGCTAAGGGGGAGTTATGGGGTAGATCCTTGGAGATTCCCCTAGGCAGGACAGCTGTGCTTAGACCAAGTGAAAGATGTTACCTGATCAGAGGTACTGGCTAACTTCTTCCACTAACAATCCAGTCAGTCCAGACAGCTTCCCCAGGCAGTTTGCGCTGCAGATGTAGGAACAGACCAACCTGTACATAAATCAGTAGATTTAAATAGTCTCTAAAAACTGTCTATGCATATACAGGAAGGAAAGGGTACACAGAACAGTCTTTGCCTACAGTTAAAATAGCTTAGATATATTCTGTGCACAGTTTATGATAATTGATAGAAAATGCTGATGTACATGCTGGAGTAGTTGCTAGGGTCAGCTGGATGATAACAGTCCCATGATTCTCATTTGATCCAGCTGAAGATGCCATCACAACAATGATTGCAATGGAAACTCCTGGCAGCATCTGGACAGCAACTGGTCTTCCTGTTGAAAACACTTAATTCCCCATGACTATTACTCTGTTTTAAGCTGACAGCCTGTCAATAGCTGTGCAAAGTATCCTGTCAGTATATCCAGTGAGCATGTTCAAAACTGGTGTAGCACAGTACAGGTCAAGGCTTACTAGCAATCTGGAAAAGTTACCTGACACAGGTCCTATAACAACTTTTTTGGAAACTTTATTGTCTATTTCAGTTTTGTGATGTATAACTTGGTAGAATTTCATCATCACCTCTTGTAGTGCCACCTCGCCAGCTCCTTCATCCAGTGCATTCTTTACCTAGAGTAAAATACCTTCTGCTTTACCCACATTTAAACCAAGAGATTATTAAACTGAAAGCTATTGCAAAATTGCAGAAACAGCACAAAGCAATAAATGCAGAAAATGGATCATTTAATTACACACTGAAATAAAATTTTAGCTCTTGTTAGTGCAATATCCAAAAAATATTTTCTTGCAGCTAGGACATGAAAACAGTATTTAAAAGTTGGATATTACTCTGCCCTTATGCTGGGCTACTTGCAAAGTACATTAAGCAGTAAAATAAAGAGGAATATGAACCAGATTGAAAGAAAATGTTCCTTAACAACTTGTCAATTCATGTTATCAGCTTTAATGCATTGATGAAATAGCAGAAAGTAGGGGATAAATTTCTAACTAAATATCTAACTGCACTAGTTCACCCTAAAATATATAAAGCAGACTAGAAGTCCTGTTTGTAAAGTGCAACCTACAGATGAATTGAAAGTAATTCTAGACAGTTCATCCAGACAGACAGGATATAGATTTGCTTCTGTCTTTATGTTCCCTCTCAACTGGAAATTTTTACAGAATACTCTGTATTATTTTCTCCTCCTGAGGCAGGAGGAAAAAGGCAAAATGCTTTTTACTTTACATGAACCACAGGCAACAGCTAGTAAAATGCTGACATTAGAGGCTGCATGGCAATGTCTTACTGCAGTTCAGTATTGATTCAAGACTGGCCTCTGTCTCACAAATGCCTTTGGGAAAAAAATGGAGTGTTGATCTAACTGAACAGCAATCCATTTCTTAACTGTTATGTTTCAGAAATACAGAGAGTACACAGAGGTGTGGGGTTGTTTTTTTCCTTTCAATACAAATGCTATTCATCTGAAAATTGATCATAAGTGGGAGGAGTTAATGAAAACAGATCAGTGCATTGAGATACAGAATCTTTTAGGTTCTTCTTCTGTGGTTCAGCTTTTGCGGAAGTTACCAATGATTTAACATTATTCATCAAATATTTATAAAATTTCACCTACCTGAAATATGTTAATAATCTTAATATTCAAACAGTTGCATCTCATATAAAGCATTTACCACAAATAGCATTTCCTTATGTCTTTGCTGATTTATGCAATGTACTTGCTACTGTCTCACATAGTAGTACACATAATACTACATAAATAGAACCTACATAAATACATATGATTTCCACATCAGAAAGCGAAAGTATTCTTCTACCATACATCAAATGAAGAGCACCAAAAGTGAGTTTCATGTGTTTCATGTTATAAGGTTAGGGCAAAGTCATTCCAGAATTGGCAACCTACTGGCAAAGCTCTTCCAGTTCAAAACCTGCATAGTCTTCAGGTAATTTTGCCTTCAGTGATAACAGAGATGGAAAAACTTTTAACTTAAACACTTTGTTGGCTTTGTTAAATTATATGAACTTAAATTATATGAATAAACATTATCCTCTTAAATGTCTAAGGAGCAAAGTGAAAGAATTGAGGTATGTGAGAAAGTGGGATTAAATGAACCATAGACATAACACAGGAATAGATAGGCAGTTACTCTTAATAACAGCTGTAATCTCCAAAGGCCTTTGTGAGTAGCTGTGTGTTAATTACATGAGTCTGATAATGCAGACAGGGATTATAATTAAAACTATTTTCCATTACAAGAGAATGGCTGACTGAAATACAGTTGAAATATACTGGCATTAGACAGTGACCTGCTATTATGCAGTGCTTTCTATGGCTATCTTGACTTATCATCACATGGAAGGGATCCTCCCATAAGTATTGTGTTAATTGCTGTAAAACAGAAAAGACAGTCATCTACTCCAGGGTGTACAGCATGTTTTTAGTGTCATGATTCTAAAGTAAAATTTGAGATAAAACCATCTGAAGCATAGGTTTGTTGAAGAGCAGGAGTATAAAAAGTGTAATTACCAACCCCAATCTAAAACAAAATGTACATGTTTGCTAGGAAGAAAATTACTTCTAACAGCATTTAGGTATTCATCCTCCCAGAGTAATAAGAATTAACTTAACCTCATTTAAGCTTATGTAGTTTACTGATTCAAGCAGTAAACTATTCAGGTGGCCAATAACTTCTGCCTAGATCAGTTCCACAAAATCACTAACTTAGAATCATGGAATGGTTTGCATTGGAAGGGATCTTAAAACTCATCTAGTTCCAACCCCCTGCCGTAGGCAGGGACACCTTCCACTAGACCAAGTTGCTCAAAGCCCATCCAACCTGGCCTCAAACACTGCCGGGGATGGAGCAGCCACAGCTTCTCTGGGTAACCTGTGCCAGGGTCTCACCACCCTCATAGTGAAGAATTTTTTCCTAATGTCTAATCTAAATCAACACTTGTTCAGCTTAAAGCCATTATCAGCCACTTTCTGACATAAAACACTTGAATGACTGGCTTCTTCTAGAAGTAACTGCAGTAAAATAAACACAATTCAGTGAAGAGACAAAAATGCAAGTCATGGCAGTGATGTTCTTACACAGATAATTAAACTTTCCTATTCCCATAAACAGTGCAGTGCACAGTGCTCATTCATGCTTAGTATAATTTATCCAGTACCATCAAACTGAAGGGAAGGTTTGCTATTATGAATTCTTTCAAGAGGAGAGGAAGACAGGACAGATGGCCATGACCTGTTTTGAAAACTGAGACATGAAGTCTTGGAGAAGACAGAAATTGATCTGCTTGATATCGTTATCAGTGCATGGTACTATTAGGTACATGGAAATAATAGTCTGCAGACCCCATCGCTTCCTTTAAAAGAACATGTGGTTCAACAATGACCATCTCTAACAGGTGACACTAGATTGATAGTCCAGAAAGCTCTAGTGGGCAAGACTTCACTCCTGTGTAAACAAAAATTTGGAGCAGCAAAGCTACAAGAGAATAGAGAGGCCATGAAGATCAGCGCAATTCATGCATCAAAGAGCTGTGAAAACAGATGTTCCCCTCTTCTTCTGAGGAACATTGTCAAAGCATTTACTTGAGCTTTTTTCTCACTGTTCTACAACTCCAGAAGCTACCATTAAACTTGATGCCGTTAAACAATTCTTACACAAGTTTGGACATTTATATTACTTGTTTATATGGCATCACTACACAGCTTCTGAGATCACGAGAAGACATATGTGGGCCCTTCAACACTGCTGGATATAATCTATGTGACAGCTGTGCCCTGTAATAGAAGCTAACCCTGGTGGAAGAAAGAAGTAGATAAAGTACAGTGAGAACATAAATGGGAAAAAATTACTTTTCACCCCATTTAGAGCCACACACTATGACTGGCTGAGAAAAGAAGCAGTATTATTCATTATTTGTATCATAGCAACCAGCAGGAGCTCCTCTCAGGGCTTCACAGTACTGACTGCTGTACACTTCCATCACTTTTGGGTTTTGATAGATTTTTAATGAAGTTTAAAATGTTAATTAGATTTACCATATAACAACCTTGTCAGAAGCAAATATTATTCTACTATGGTGAGAATACTACAACAATAATACAAAAGTTCTATTTGCATTGCACTGAAACACAGAAAGCATTAACATACTTTTCAATACTCCTCATTGCATTGCTGTACATGATAACCTAGAAGAGTTGCTGTTGATGTGTATAAAACTGTAAACCTTTTATTCACCAACTGATCCTCCTACATTCTCTCACAGTAACAGAAAAACTTACTTTTTCAAGGACACTGTATTTTACAACTTGGGGCAAAAAAGAAGGATCGATAATTTTCACTGTAAAATCTGGAATGAAATCAGAGTAATTAAAATCACATATGCCCAGTAAATACTGTAATGTAATAGGCTGCAACATCATACTTAAGTTAGAACTAATAGAAGAAGAAAATTCTATTTTTCAGTGGCAAAATAACAGCAAAAAAGTTTTGAGAAATTAAATCCTTCCTGAATAAGCTATTGTACTAACAGGTCAAAATGTCTACTGTGAACCTGATGATGAAGGCTAGATTTCAGTCTTTGTTCTTTAGAAAAACTATGGAAGAAACACAGTATATGTATCTTCATTGGCTAGTTACATGATTTTTTTATTAGCTTCATCAGCTACATGTGTGTCTGAAGCTAATTCCTCCCTTATTCCTGATTTTCACTTCAGGATATATACGTGTCATCATATTCTTCAGCATCAGGATATTTAGACCAAGTTTAACTTCTAGTACATTCCCACAGAGTAACTAAATACCTACCCTATGACTGAACAGCAGTCTCTAAAAGTGAAAGCTGCATCTTGTTAATAGATTAAAGAGTGTTGGAACTGGTTTTGTTTCTTTAACTCAATAATTAGAAACAGTTGTAACAACACTGCTTCCTGATCAACTAAGAGCAGTCTCAATCTTGATTTTCAGCTCTCCCCAGAATTTTTATGGAAGAAAGAGATGCTCAGCACTCAATGAATTCATCTGGATTGCAAAAATCTGTGTGAACCAAGAAAAGAAAAAATTGTGATGATAAGCGGGGTTCCATTAGGAAAATCATAACGCTTGAGCCATACTAATGCCTGCCAAAGCTTTGCATGCATTATGAAGCTGGACTGTAGGTGTACTCTGAGATGGAAAAATGTAAAATCAATTTCCACAGACAGAGCTGAATGTAAGAAAAAAAAAACAACCAAAACCAGAAAATCTGCAATAAATTCATACACACAGAATGACAATATTTATGAGCTTGTTTATGAGCTTGCCATATTGCTAGGTAGGGGAAGGAGAAAATAAATGTCACTTTCAGGTGGCAGAAGTAACAGGTATTATGCTTTCACTGTTAAGTTAGATAATTCCTTCTCACTGGCATGTGAATACTTACATTGTTAAGGCATTAGCATGTTCCTCTGCATGCTTCAAGCTTCTGCCAACTCACATCCTCCCAGTTTCCAGGCACAGTCTGGGAGACAGAGCATCACCATGATCATTCGCATTAGGCAGACTGGATATGAGCACTCAGTCCTGAGGGCCAAGAGAGTTCATTCGTACAGGCACAGGCCAACCCATGCTAGCTGGCCAAAGTTCATGCAAGCATTCCTAGGCATGTAATATACCACTAGAGATTCAGCCCACTGATTGCACTAATATAATGTGCGTATAATGGAAACAGCCTCTTTGATTTATCCATCCTGCTTGTTCAACATATGTTCAAAATAAAACGCCGTATTTAAATAAAAAGCTGCACTATCACAGATTTCTCACTCTACAACCATCTCTTCTTCACTCTCTAATCAAATGCTTACTTTAACAATAACATAACCAAAACCCAATTCAGTGATGCATTTCCTTATTCAGAGTTTCCCCTCTGACAGTGAAAGAAAAACAGCATGGCAGTTTCATCCAGGGAAAATATCTCCCTGGTTCTTTTGATGAGGGAGTATATTGCTGTTAATTTTTTATGTGACATTTCAGTACTAACAGAGCTAGATGCATTAAAAATGTAAAATGAATATTTCTGTTTAAATATTGAACAGAGCCATAATCTGTACAATTCTTATTTCTCTACATGAGGCAAGATTATCCCTCTACAACACTTGTACCACTTGATATTTTCCTACTGAGATCTTTGAAATCTGGAACTTCTGATTAAGCACAAAATTACTCATCCTGGTTTTGGCTGGGGTAATTTTCTCCCCAGTAGAGAGGACAACCCTAACTCTAAACACACCCTCTGGTATATGACAAAGATTTACAAAAAGGAGTAGTGTAGCAGTGGATATTGTAGAAGTGGAAGTTCTGGAGAGACAGGGAAGAGAGGGAAGTAGGGAGACTGCTTCTCTTCTCAGCACTGTCAACCTGAATTATCTGTAAAGCAACCTGAATGAAAATCAGCTGTGTGTCACTTGTGACAAACCATGCTAAGATATGAGAGGCTGGGAAAGTTTTATTTAGACAGGAGTAGAATTTATAACAATAAAATATAAAAGCAGTGTCTAGTTAAAGCGATTGAAATGTATCATCAATGTATATTTGTTTTCCTAAATTCCTGTGAGTGCAAAATTATCTTAAAAACTCATGAGAATGACAGTTTTAGTGTAAATGAGAACACTATACAGAGCACTAAGGTCTTTATACAGCCTATGAGTTCCTCAGCATGCCACATGTTTTCTAGGGTTTCAGAGCCCTTCAGTGGTAAATGAGTGTTAAGTGTGAGCTAGAGAGCCTTATGACAGGGTGAGTACAGACAGAAGCCCAAACCACTGCCCCCAGGAAGCTTTTTTGAAGCACAGTGCCCAGTGCAGTTCTCTCTGAAAGGCATTCCGAGGGCACACCTCAAAACCACTCTGAGGAATTAATCAGCAAAAGGCAGCTCTTGACAACTGAAAGATCTGGCTTAAAATTGCATTGCTGCTCCAAGCCAAACTGTTAATACAGACACACTGCTAATGCTACAGTAACTAGCATAAGGAGAACATATGCTTGTAAAACAAAATGTTCAGGTCATAAATTCTTTTTAGCAACAATTCTTTCAATCCCAGTACACCATGTCCTTATCTCATCCAGAGGGTTAGTATCGATGTCACTGGTAAAGACTTTGGGTTTCCTCTATTTGCATTTCTGGGAAACCTACTTCATGGTGTAAATTTTCCACAATGACTTAAGGCTAAATAATTTTATTTGTGAGATAACTGCACAAAACTGATGCTTTAGAATACTTGGGCTCTCCAATTCAACCTGGACTCACAGGATGAGGCAGAACAAATAAGAAATTGCTTGTTCGAAAGTAAAAATAATGTGAAAGGAAAACAGTTCTTATGTTAGCCAAAAATGTCTGATTTTAAGTGGCCTCTCTCTTGGAGAGGCTATTCAGAGCAAAAATTACCTTTCTCCAACTTAATGAGAGCTCCCACATACTGAAAATTCTAATTAAGCTTCTGTTTTCCTACTTCTATAAATAGACAACACCTACATTAAAGATTGCAAAAAAAGAAAGCTGATGCTGTTTGAACTACTTGCATTTATTTACCATGTCACATTTTCCCGCATCATGTACGAGCAAATGAGGAAACATTTATTAGAACAGTTTCTTAACTAGTTTCCTAGGACAAAAAATCCCCAAATACGCCAACAACATGGAAAATCAACACTATCAGACAAAATTTTATACACATCTATACAATTTCATCTCAGAAAAGTACTCTATATGAAGGGCCCAAATCATCTACTGCACTATATACCTGAAAGAACTGGCAACTCTACTGGTAATACGTACATTTAGGTTGGGCAGATGGCAGATCAAAGGGCACATGATCTCCTTATATACATCTATTTTGTGGCTCTTTTTTTATTTTATTTTTTCTTTTATTGTTTAGCAGTGCTTTTGTCATAAAACTATTCACTGCTCACAGAAAACCCCCCAACTCTCTGTTATTAACTAAGAGGTTTTCATGAGGTACTATGTTATCTAAGGTAATTAAAATCTTTCACAATGCAGCCTTGTTATAACTTGGCTTTGTGGGAAAATTTGCTTTGTGATGCTTTTATCAATTTTATTTTGAAGCTTGTCACAAACAAGATAGATTAATTTGAGGTTTATATAAGGGCAAATGTGCCACTGCCAAAAACTTCCTTTAGTAACCATAGTATAGAACTGGTCACTGCTTTCCTCTTCACTAGAGCTCTGTGGGTACCAGTTTCCCCAATATATTCTCTAAAGCAGACTCTGGATACTGCTGAAGTATCACCAGAAATTGTCTCATCAGGAAATAATGAACTCCATTTGCACAGCCAAACCAAAATGTTTATTAGAAGGCAATGAAATACATACAACCAAATGCAAGCATCAGCCTGGTTATACAACTTATCTCTTCTGGGAAACACCAGAAGAAACTGAAATTGGTAGCTGCATCCAATGCAAAATTCCACAGAAGTATTTTATGTTACATTTATATACGAAAATTGAGCTGCTAAGAACTGAGAAAAAAATTATTGTGAGGACTGATCTGTAAATAAACTATAGGTCAGCCAGTAAGCACAGAAGGAATGCATAAGCTTGAAGGATTCATTTCCTCCAAGTCTGTCTACAAAGACAACCCCCCCCTTCTCTGTTCCCAGCACAAGAGATTTCAAATGACCCCTGATCATCTTTAGGTGGTTCTGAGGGAGCCAAATGGTTTACACTCACCTGCTCAGGCATCTGCCCTCCCTGGAGGATCTTCCTGCTTCTCCAACAGTGTGAGGTATAACTGGAGAGAGAGACTGGCTGTTGTAGGCAGGAAGAGCTAGGACACACTAGTAGCTCCTTGTAAAATGCCCGAAGGGACAGAGACTCTGCTAAATAAATAAGACAAGCAAAGTGTAGTCTCCTGCAGCATAAGGGGCAGTAATCCTTGATGCACTTGGCAGGAGAAGGAAATTTTCACTGCTAAAGCACAACTTGACTTTCAAATATTTGTCAGAGAGCAAGAAATTGAGTTAAAACTTGTTCAAAGTCTGTCCCCAGCAGCTCGTCTCTCTCTTGAGTGAAGATTTTATTTTCGTTCATTATTGATGAATGCTACCACTGAGCAGTAGCCTGTCTTCTATTTCCCTTGACAAATAAACTTCTCAAGGAATTTTAGCAGTGTTTGGCTTTATTCTTTTCGAATGGAAACATTTCCAATGTTCAAAATCAGCATGAAAAATGATTGTATTTAGTGTTGAGAATTAACTGCTGAAAACCACTTTTATAACTGGAATACTGTGTTGTTGCAGCACCAAATAAGGAAGGTATGCAAAGTGGAACTGCTGACAATTACCACTGGTTTAACAATTTTAATTTATGTTGTTGGTGATCCGTAAGGCCCCAGTAGGCTTAAAAGGGTTTCACACAAGCACATGAGCTTGTACTTCATGACCAAGCCACAAATCCAACACCATTGTTAGCAATGGATTATAGTTTTTGGCACAGAGAAGAAGCCAACATTAAGATTTCATCATCCAACAGCAGACCATGAGTAACCCGAAGTCCTGTAAGGCCTTCAGAGTGCAGGTAAACTGAAAAAAACTGAAAAAAACACCTCTACTGTATTGGGTCTTGAGGGAGCCAGTGGATGAAGTGGCCAAGCACTATCCATCATATTTGAGAAGTCATGGCAGTTCATTGAAGTCCCCACTGACTGGAAAAGGGGAAACATACCCCACATTTTTAAAAAGAGAAAAAAGGAAGATCCAGGAAACTAGAGGCCAGTCAGTCTCACCTTGGTGCCTGCCAAGATCATGCAGCAGATCCTCCTGGAAACTATGCTAAGGCACATGGACAATAAGGGGGTGATTGGTGACAGCCAGCATGGCTTCACTAAAGGCAAATCGTGCCTGACAAATTTGGTGACCTTCTGCAATGGGGTTATGGTGTTGGTGGATAATGAAAGAATGACTGACATCATGTATCTAGACTTGTACAAAACCTTAGACAGAGTCCTGCATGGCATCCTTGTCTCTAAACTGGAGAGACATGGATTTGACGGGTGGACCACTTGGTGGATAAGGAATTGGCTGGATGGTCACACAAAGGGGGTAGGAATAGATGAACTTTAAGGTCCGTTCTATGATTCTGTGATTTTCCTACTGAAGATGCCAAAGGGTGCTTTAAAAAAAGCATCGCTACAAATCCTTCTATTTTCTAGCACAGTAGCTTATCACAATGCAGAATCCAGTGTGAAGACGATTGTGTAGACAATATATTCACAACAGGCAAAACCAAAGTGCTGGGAAGATGATGCCAAGTTCAGCAGAAAGAGCCCTGTGGAACAATTACACAGTAATGCTGAGAATTGAAACAAGCACCAGGCAATGAGAGGTCTGCCCTGGGTTTACACAATCTAGAGCTCGGTTTTGTACCTGCCCACAACAACTGCAGGAACAGGTCACTGCCTGTGTGATGCTCTGCCACTTGCTGGAGTTCAGAAGAAAACACTGATTTCGCTCAGTAAGATAGAGCATGCCTAAAGCACGAAATGTCAGAAAGCCAGGGGGTGCTTTTTGCCCATTTATCTTCCCTTTCCTCCCTGACTACAGCTATTTAACCATTAAAAGGGTCTCGCGGGCGGCTCGCTAGACACGACCCCGGGACACCCGCTGAACACCACTGCCGTTTGCGGCCTCCTGGAGGCGCTGCCTGATAAGAACCTCCAGCTCCCAAAGAGGCCACCAGCAGGGAGGACCCGGGAGCCGCCTTCACCTGCGGGCCGTGCCCAGGCCCAGCAGCCTGAAAAGATCCCCGCCGCTGTTCCCGCCCCACACAGCCCGGCAGGACAGAAGCGGCGGTGACTGCGGACGCGGAGCTGTTGATGCCCATCAACGGCTCTTTCGCCGCGGAGGCTCTCGGGAGCTGTAGTCCGAGCGCCGATGTACCGCCATGCGGCTGGGCGGGAAGGTAGCGGTTCGGGACTACAAATCCCAGCATGCTCAGCGCCGGGGCGGTGCCCAGCCTATGGCGCCGGGAGGCTGTGCGATGGCGGCAGGTTTGTAATAGAAGAAGGTGGAATGGGACTGTGGCTTGAGGAGCGGTGTTGGTGCCTCCGCCCCAGAGCCCGTGAGGGGCCGCGGGTGGGAGCTGTCGCGGTGCGGGTGCTGTGGGGCTGGGAGA